TGACTCAATGGCAACAGGTTTGGTTTTAAACTAATATAGGGGAAAAATCTGTTAAGTACAATCATTCCACTTGCTATTAAATTGAACTGGCTGATTTCAATAATTTCTTTTCTCTTTTTTTTTTAATCCTCTCTAAGAATTACGACTGGTTTTACCATTTCAATAGAAACTTCATGTGGCTTTTATGCTGTGTCTAGGACATCTCCAAAAGGAAATTCTGTATCTTTCTTTTTATCACAGTTCTTGCATTCAGTGAAGTAAAACATTTTATTTGATTGTTGTACTTTAAGCGAAAGTTTACAATTCAAGTTAGTTTCTCATACAAAAATCTATACATACACTGTCATGTGACCCTAATTGCTCTCCCAATACTGCAACAGCACATTCCTCCTTTCCACCCGACTTCGTGATCCTCTCTGCCTTGTCATCTCACCTCCAGACAGGAGCTGCCCGTTTAGTCTCATGTATCTACTTGAGCTAAGAAGCACATTCCTCATGAGTATCATTTTATGCCCTAGTCCAGTCTAATTTTACAGCAAAACATTTTTAAAAGGTACCCAAATCAAGGAGATGGATACGACTACCTTGTAATATGCAAAATTTCTCATGGCACTTTAAGTCAAATGCAAACACTTAAAGAATATAAAGATATAAAAAGTATTTCAGTCTAGTTTCCTAAGATACGACCTTATAACCTCTCTGTATTCATACCCCAAACCCCTGTGTTCCACATCCCGTCAGTCTGGGTAGGTGCGGTGTGGTGGTAACTTGGGTTGCTACTTGCTCCACGGCACCATCTCCTTGGCCACTGCCAGCAGTGGCCCCCAGCTTGTGGGTCTTCAAGTAAACTACTTTATAGTAGTTTTCCTCTCAATTACTACAATGGCTTCATTACGCTAATTTAATTACCACCACTCAGTTTCCATTTTTCTCCCAGGTTCTTATTTCATACTGATTCAGTCTATATGAAACATTTCTGTTGGTTTAACTACTTAGGATACTGAGCTTTTCCAACGTACTCAGCACTTGAAATGCTCTACAAGGCATTCTGGTGTATAAATTGGGCTAACTTATCTTCCTTCACCATGAAGGGTTATCTAGAAATTTTCTTCTGCAGTAATTAGCTATTCAAGGAGACGATCATAGGCAGTTCCTATGCAGTGTGAAGTATTACTTTTTTTCTAAAAGGGAATACCTTAAAAATACAAAAGGAATACTACTCGCCTAATTCAAACTATTCACTTTGAGAGGGCAGTTGGTTACCTGAAGACTCCAGATGCCATTCAGCATGACTTTCTATGCTCATTATTGTAAAGAGTACCTAAGTAGCAGATCTTTTCCTTACTTAAGAGGCTAACTTTCAGAGAGGAGTTAACATATCCAAGAAGAGGCAAATATGGGATATCTTGCTGTAGCTATCCACAACTGCCAACTCACTTCTCTGTCATCTTTTTTTAAAAATAAGTTTCTCTCATGAAAATATGTAAACATTACATGTGATCTGAAAAACACAGAAAAGTTGAAAGGAAAAAAAATCATAGCTGTGATCATACTGTAAGTACAATTCTATATCCTGTGTTTTCACAAAACATTATAAGTATTTTTCGAAGACTTACAGATCCTTCCTAACTACTATGTGCCGTGATATTCCACTAAGTTGTTTAAACCATTTCTGACTTTTTGCTATTATAAACAACACTTCAAAAATCAACATTTTCATAAAAGGAGGAGAAGCACAGTTGCTTCAGTTATAACTCAGTGTGTTCAGGCCGTCAGCAAGCCCTAGGGCAGGAGGCCACCTCAATGTGATTTGTAGCATATGCCTCCCCGTTCATTATAAGCTCCTTTCCTATCCTCCTGTCTGTCCAGTGTTCTCAAGTAAGGACTTGGGTTAATATCAATAAGAGCAGTGTTCAGATAAACTCAGATTGGGCAGAGGAAAAAAAAAAGAAGATTTGTAAATTTTTTCTTCTTATTGTAAAGCTTAAAAGTTCTTACCTTTGGAGAAGGATCCTTTAATGTAAGAGTCATCAAGGACACAGACTGTGGGCTTCCGAGTTCAGGTGTATCGGGAACAAAGGCAGACCAGTAGCCATAAAGAA